CGTTCATGCAGAACAATTTTGATGAAAACCTTCATAGATTCATTCTAAAAGTATAGTAGCAATTATGTGTATGCAGCTGATGCTGAAAAGAAAATGGAAGGCAAATAATCACTGAATGATTCGCATCACTGAGTTAACACGTACCATGACCCATGTGATTTTCAAACACAGATTCTTCTATAATGCTTGAGCCACTACATGTTGAAAGCAAAGCCATTGTCTGGGGTTGGAGATCTGTTGGGAATCCTGGGTACGGTTGGGTTCTAAAATTGAAGCCTCGCAAGTCATCCCCCCTACTTGCAGCGATTGCAGAAAGCTGGAGTACCAAATCCATTAATGATCAGAATTCATGCATGTTGTGTGTGTGTGTGTGTGTTGGTGGGGGTGGGGTGAGGGAGAGACTCCACAAATGTTTATATACCTGCAGATTGTTATGGCTGAATAATATTTTGCAGCCAGCACCTGAGAGCTTGTCTAACAAGCTAGATAGACTGCAAGGAAAGACAGGTGATAGAGAGATGCAGGATCGAGTAATTGCAGCAGCAAGTATGAAGGTTCCCGTTTCGATTCTATCTGGCATTATGCCATATTCGGAACCATGTAACTGATTTTTTCCAGTGATATAAATCTTGTCTGATCCTGCACCATTTATACATGCCCCACTTTCTGTCAGGAAATGAGCAAGATCAATTATTTCTGGTTCCTGCGCAGAAATTTCACAGTATTGAAACAATGGCAACCTCAGTTAAAAATCAGTATAATCTGGTAATCATTCAGTTTATTCATCAAAAGGGAAGCATTAGTAACATGTGAATATATCTGTGTGATTATATTTATCATACTTGAGCAACATTTGTGAGCAAGGTCTTCCCCTCAGCCATGCAAGCTGCCATCATTAAGGTTGCAGTTGCCCCCACGCTAGGGTAATCTAGGTGAAACCTCCCACCAACCAAACCTTTCCCATTTGCAGCATGTCCTCGCACTTTTCCGTCCCTGCAATGAATATATAAAACATTCTTCAATGTTCTGATATACCTATAAGAATGCCAATATGAAATACTTAATTTCGCTTGCACCAATTTATCATTTATGGACATGTGACAAACATTTGCAATCAGACATACCAATAAATTTGTTCTGGCTTGACAAGCAAATTTACTTGCGGGCTCCCAAAAGGTCATCCTTCATTTATTATTGCAACTTTTGAGAAGCATATTCCAGAATGCAAGAGAAAACATCATTCTTCGAATCCTATGCATAACAGGTATACTTTCTGTTATTATTCCATTGGACGTTAGTATAAATTGCACCATTTTCTCCCCATTTTGGTGCAATGGGGAAAAAAATACACTCTGATTTGGATTTGTAATAAAGGGCACTCCAGTCATATCCGCAAAAGTGAAAGGATTTATGGATTCTGGTAAGTCTCCAACACAGCTATATTTTCTCCACTCATCTCTCCCATATTAGCAAGTTGATCTGTATACAACTATTCCCTTGCATTAATGTGTGCATTATCTCGACTCTGAGTCTTTGGGAGTAGAAAAACACAACTGCACCAACTAAAGAATTGCATTTGCAAAGCCCACTAACACAAAATTGGTCACATTCTAAACCATGATAACAAGAAGAAAGGGAAGCTCATAAATTTACATGTATGCATGACTGCTTTTATGAATACAAACTTGAACACTGCAAGGGGAACTCTATTAAATAAGTTAGAGTCACTGCTATTTTAAAGAAAGCGGATTAAGATTGAGAAGGGAACACTCAAAATCCTTTGTCTTCCCCTCAATTCCATTTGAAACGAAAATGTTACCTTATCCACCTGAAATCAGATATGCTGCATCAGGCTTAAATGCAGTTTTAGAAGGTAGAATTTAAAAATGCACCACAAGCTCCAAATTAACAACTATTAAAAGAAAAAAAATTAACCTATTACTATATGTAAAAGATTCCTTAACAGATACAAGCACCAGAGCAATATCCCAGAATAATTTATGTTCAGCCAAATCTTATAATTCACCAGTTAATAGCCCACATTTTCTTCATTCAAGCGCAGTAATTTATTGCAAGAAAACCAATCAAACAAAGGTAGAAAATAGAATACACCACATTATTCGGTGAGAATTGACTAGCCTGACTTTAACTACAGCACCAAGAGCCTGAAGCCCACGGACATAAATATCAATTGGCCGAGCCCCAATATCACATCCACCAGGCAAACCAATCACAGCCTCTCCAAACCGGCCAAGCAGAGGACCAATAACGAAGAACCCACCTCGAATCTTGCCAATGCCACTCAATTCAGGTTCTACAGACCGGACTAGTTCAGTGTTAACCACCATCTCATTATTATAAAACTCAATTTCAGCACCTAAAGAGCCCAAAATAGAAGCCATCGTTCTTGTATCAGACAAATTCGGAACATTTTTTAGCTTCGAAGTGCCGGAACAGCATAGGGTCGCTGCTAGAATTGCTAATGCCGAGTTCTTGGAGCCACTTATGGTGACATGGCCCGACAGCCTGGAACCACCGGTCATTATGAGTTTTGCATCCGATTCTGGGTGCAGGTCTGAGGAAAGCGTCCTGGGATTTCGAGAGCGATGGATTTTGGGATGTGAGAGGTTTGGAGTTGGAGAACTAAGAGTGGTTGGGTTCGAGTTGAAGCTCGAAGTCATTTTCGGTTGAACCCTGTAGGTGGAGGCAAATTTTTGAATGTTTTAACCTAATATTGGATCAAATGAAAGGAAAATTGCAGCATTAGACTCCAATCTATCCACCTAGTACTAAACGGTACACATTCTACAATGTTCTTCATTTATATCCTGATTGTTGCACCATTGCCCTTAATTCACAAATTCATCTAAAAGGTTGTTGAGTACTATCAAATTTTCTATTTGCCTACAACATGACGTTCGCCCTTTAGAAACTCATTTTCAAGAATATGTCATCGCGATAATTTGATTTAAAAATAGTGGCTTGCGGATTGGTGGGAAATGGGTGTGGGTTGTATCGAATAAGGTGATAGCTCATGAAATGAAGGTTTCAGCATTTCGGGGAAGATGAACTCCTTCATCTTTTATCGATTACGCTCTGCATGTTTATCAATTTTTATTGGAAAGTTTATTAGCTTCATTTATTGATGAAAGTGACCTCAAAGCTCAAAATAAAGGAACAAGTATTCTCTCATTAATTAGGCTCCATTAAAAGTTAGGGGTGTTCTTAAACTACTGCAAAAAAACAATGGCTCCACTCCTTTCTCTATAATTCCTCCTATAAACCATCATTCCATTGCACTTCATTAAGTATGTCACACACGGCAATGGAAGAAAATAAAGCAACGCAATAAATGGAAAAGCATGTTGTTCACGCACTATGCATCTTGACCCTTGCCACCGTTGCCCACTCCCACTTGAAAGAAGTTTTCGAAGTCAAGGGTGATGTTTATTGCAATAAATAAAACTTAAATTTTTATTACGTGTCATGAGAAAAATGATCAAGTAAAAACACTTTCAAAACTTCCAAGAACACATGGCATCAACAAAGCATTGTCCAAGTCACTAGAATCTTCTATATACTTTGTGCCTTTTAAATTGACAAATAAAAATCTCCTCTGTATAAATTCTTTAAATTAAAAAAAAATGTAATTATATATGCAGTAGAGGGTGTTTATAAAAAGTTTGTGTTTATAAATCGTTTCAATTCATGGGAGACCCAAAAAAAAAAAAAAAAAAAAGGTCATTTTACCATATGAACAACATACCTTTTAAGCCTCTTTTTATTTAGTTAGATTAGATAGATTAATGTTGAATGTGCAAAAATTGCTTCTAAGATTCAATAAAAAGGATAGGCTGTTTTAACTAAAATATGATATTTATTCATGGAGTCTGTATCAGTGACTTGAGGAAAAAATAGTCATTGAAATCTAAGCTCGTTTAAGCAAAAATTATTTTATAACTAAGAGTCTGTTTGGTACAGATTCTCATTTTCTACAGTAAATCAATTCTCATTTTCAACCACACATTCTTCAATAAAATAAATTTTTCATCACATCAATACTTTTTTCTTCTTTTTCAACCACACATTTCCCATTATATCACTATTCAAAAATCAATTCTTCCCCCAAAAATTACTACCAAACACACTCTAATTACCTTTTTCAAACTTTACTTTAATGTAAATTCACATATAAGTTTGAATATTTCTCTCGAAGCACATTTTTAATATCAAATCGAATAGCACGATTTTTCCTTACAGTGAAACGATACAACAATAATTGTTGTTTGAATAATTATTGAAGCTCAATCTAAATTATTGAACTCGAATCAAGGAGATGCGCTCACTATATTATGTAAATTATTACATTCAACTTGGCATCAAGAACACAAAATACCAATATGGTTCACTTGAATCCAAAAAAAAAGTCGCTAACAGCATGTTGAGTACAAGTTAACAACTTCGGCCAAATTTTAATAAAAAGTCTTTAGTATAAAAATTAAGAAATCTTCTCTCGATTAACTGGCCGACACCATGACTCTTGATCACAGGCTAAGTTCCGAGACAACCCAACACCTATTTCCACTAGTCACACAACTAGTAAAGCGTATAGACACTGACACAATTCCACCAATCAATCATTATGTCAAGACTATTAACCAGAAAATGAAGAGAGAGATTCAATGAACATAAACACAAGATAACCATCCAATTTATTATTGCATGGAAGCCATCGTTGGATTTCAAAGTCAATAGTTATTATAACAAAGTTCAATGGTCATTGATTAAACTATAATGTTCATTACTCGTATAAATTTTGGTAAATCTCACTCTTAAACCCCATTTTATTATAAGGGGTGGAATTTACAAAGTTCCAATACTCGAAGCCTCATTTTGCAAAATATAAAACCTCCTCTACGATTACGAGTAAAAGGCATTTTTATTAGCGTAAACTCTCCGGCAGAAAACCTACAGGAAAAATATTTGCAAAATTCAATTCAATGGCAAACAGCAATTTACCCCGGAGAATCATCAAGGTTCAACTTTCGATCTTCATGTTATACGCCCGATCACTCTTCCAATTTTACTCCTTACCTTTGATTTTAAAAAAATAGGGTTTTTCATTATTGTTTCCTTATATTTTAATGAGTTTTAGTTTTTGTGATCTAATAGGAGACTCAGCGTCTTCTCAGCGAACCAGGTAAATCCTGTTACATGATTATAATTATGTTTTCTTGTTCATATTAAATATTCGAGCTCATTAACGTACGCTCATATAGACGTGCTATTATTTTAGTTTGTTGTTTTACTTTTATAATATTGAGGCAATTCAGTGGTTTACTTTTATAACATGTTACAGGCAAGATCGGAAGGATTCCAGTTTAGTTTCCTAGTTCTGTCTGAGTTTTTATGAAATTTGACGGGGATTTCCCAATCCATCAAAAACAAACTGTTTTGAAGGCCTAATTAATTAGAGTTTGATTTATTTGAGTGGTTTTATGCAGCACCGGGGATAAGTGCATCTCCATCGGAAGACAATATGCGGTATTTCAATGTTATGATTCTTGGTCCAACACAGTCTCCTTATGAAGGTAACTGGAGATGGCTTTTCCTTGTGACCAAATGGTTGTGCTGGCAGTTATCATGTCTCATATTCTGCTTTTCATGATTTAATATAATGTTTCTATTTTGAACTTTCTCATATTCAGTCATTGCATCCCCCTTGAAATTTTCTCTCGATTTCATTAGAATAAAGTTATCTATTTACCTTTCATTTCCATTATGCTTGGTTAATGTGGAACTTACAAGTTTGAAACCTTTTTAATGATAAGCGATCATTGACAGTAGACAGCATGGATAGTGCTATATTGGTGATTTTCTGGAATTATTGGCTAAAGTTGTTTTCGAAGTTGTTAATGATAACCCAAGTTTTGCGCTGGTTAAAACTGTTAGTAATTGGATTTTGTCATTGTAAATAGTTGACTGTACGGTGGAACACCACTTCCCTTTCTTGTTAAGTGGGTACTTCTCCAGATATCAAGGATATTCTGTGTGCATGTACAGTACACGGATTGAACATTATGTCATATTCTAAATGCCCATCGGAGGGTGTTACAAGTTTTGATTGTTTTGAGCAACTTCTATCCCCATTTTCTCCTTTTGACCTTTCTTTGCAGGAGGTGTTTTCAAGCTGGAGTTATTTTTACCAGAAGAGTACCCAATGGCTGCTCCCAAGGTATTTTAGAAAGACAGCTTTTGATGGAATTATTATTCATGCACTTTGTTGTGAAAAATACTTGGTGGAGATGCTATATTTTAATGTTTTAGTTTCTTTTATATCACATTTTCGCCCCCCTTTATTGTCCCAAGTTGACCAAGTTTACAACTTAGGATCGAAGAATAACATTTTGGCCCTATTTGGTACACATTATTTTTTTCATTCTCATTATTCTACTCATTTTCAATCACATATTCTTCAATAATATAATATTTTCCATCACATCAATAACTTTTCCTTCATTTTTAACCACACATTCTCCATAAATATTTTCCATCACATTAATAACTTTTCCTTCATTTTTAACCACACATTTTCCATCAATCTACTATTCAATAATACATTCTTTCAAAAGAATGTGTCCCAAACACACTCTTTGTATTATTTTTCTCTCATAGGCAAACATAGCCACCAATTAGCAATCTTTACTTTTTTGCACGAAGGATTCATTTTTTCCTAGAGGGGGTGTAGGGGGCCGGGATTCTTTGGTGTGATTAAAAGGAAATTTTATTGATAATGGAGAGAAGTAAGCTCTGTATGTCGCTGCATTTCACTGTTTCAGTTACGTGTGTTTAGATTGCATATCCTTCATTTACCTTGTATATTTGTTTGAAAATAAGTACGCCCCTTTGATGGCGTTGGCTTATTCCTTTTTATTTTTGAATTCATGGATTTTATTTTTTTAATATTTATTGCCTTTTCTATTCATTAGGGCTTATTGATTATTTCTCTATGGATGAGGGGCCGCTGTTTAATAAAACCATTGGACGCTTACACCTCAAATCCGGCTCCTTAAGGCCATTTGTGAGACTTACGCCTAAGACTAAGCCTCAAGACGACTAAGATGTTTGTCTGTTTTTCTTGCATTTTGTGGACATTCTATTACAAGCCTTAGCTTGCTGGGCAATTTTCTTTCCTTTGACTAGGTTTATTTATGTTTGTTTGCAAGCTAAACTTTTAATTTTGTTAATTTGTTTTATTATAAATTTTCAAAGATGGTGTATGATTCATTATGAGCATATTTTTGTACTTATATATAATTTTAACTTAGGGCTTACGCCTCAAAGCGCCTTTAGGCTTGTTCCTCGCCTCAAAAGGCAAAACTCATAGGTACCCTATTAAGACTTTTTAAACATTATGATATGAGGACCTAAATATCAAATTTGGTCAAGGTTGCATAAGGTTTTGTCTACAGAAAGCATGAGTGTTGATGGCCAGGCTTTGAGTTTATCTTTCAATTTCTTATAAATTCTCATAATCTACATGTTTTAGGTGTGTTTATCATTCTCATTATTTGTAATGCATTAAATTGGTAGAGTACAGTTATGTTCTTAGCTATGCCATGAAGGAGATAGCTTGTTGGTGGTGATACCTAATTGGAAGAATTGAACTACAGGGAGGAGATGATATATGTGAATCAATATATTGATTTATTGATGCAACAAGAGACCACCTTGATGTCATAAAAGTGTAACACCTTCAGATGCTAGAGGTTGTGAGAAACAGGCACAGAAAGGTGCATGCATGAGGGATGGTCATGCGATGACTGAAAAACCTTGGCTGCACGTCAATCGACAACATGGCGGCTGACAAATGGGCGCACCCGATGATTTTGGGACCAAAGCTTTGTCGAGTGATGCATTTGATGGCAATGTGAATCTGTTGTCCCTTGTGATCATATCCCCGATTCTGATTTCATCAAGATGAATATTGTTGTTAGGAATTAAGTTTCAAATCGGCACTCTTGAGATCAATGGCGGTATTGAAGTAGAAAAAAATTTGGTCCTGGATGATGTCAATTTTGATAGTGTGCTGATGTTCATTTAAGAGGTTGAACTTTTGGATTTAGATAATGTCAAATACGACAGCGTCCTGATATTTGGCGATGATGTTAGAGTTGATTGGTTCTAGATTTAGGTGAGGACATATATTAGAATTTCCAACTTTTTGAAGTTGAGATATTTGAAGAATGATTAGATGGTCATTTGAGCTCAAAGTTGGTGGTTCAATATCGTTTTCTGACTTTGCACAAAGATAAGACAGGTCGGCAATGCAATAGTTTCTATTGGTCTTATTCTTATTGTGCCTCGTGAGTGCGTTTGGATCCACGAAAGCAATCGCTCAGATGGTCCCCTAACCCAACCCGGGAATAGACCAGATGGAACCACAGCATGGGGAATGTCCATGTTTCATTGCAATGCTCATTTTGAGTTGTGGATCATAGGGCAGTAGTTTTGTCTGATCAAGTGCTGGGCACAAGGGTCCAGGTATAATACTTTTCAAGTGGGAGAGAGAATTTTTTTAAAATGTTTTAATAAAAGCTGATTATCAAGGTGGGTTAATCAAAATACACAATCTTTTAATGTTTTAGTAATAGCAAGTGGAGTAGTGGGCTATCCCAAAGTAGGTCAATCATAATTTTTAATGTTTTGGTGGTCCAAACCGAAAGCAAGGTAAATAAGTCTTGAGAATTAAGGAGCCACACCTCACAAGTCTTGATGCGTGTGCGTCGGTAGTTTCTAAATTCGAAGATATTATCACCATCAACATGCTTTTAGGTGTGTTCATTGTTCTTGTTGATTCCGCTGCTTCACCTTAGTACCCACCCCACTGCCACACAAAAAAATACAAAAAAAAAAGAAAAAAGATACGAGAAAGATTAGAAGTCGCAGTATTTGCCTTCCTTGGTTTTCTCATATATCTCACTAGAACCTCCAAGAAACTCCTTTGGAATAATATATTGAATTAGGTGGCTCTGAAAATTATCTTGTTTGGTGGGGATATGTTTGACTACATTATAATTTGCAGCATAGTTTCAATACTGCTTTGTGTGCATTCATGTGTTTTTGACAAGTACAAGTTGTCTGTCCAAATTTTTAATGATTTTACACAGGATTGTTAAGCATTTTTTACTATTAATTTTTTAGTTGATATTGCCAGAACAAATTGTGTAATGTGCTGCAGTTTTACATGGTGCAATCGCATTTTATACAACATTCTTGGTGTGTTTGACTAGGTCTTCTATGGCATAATTGATAAAACTTCTTGGCTACGGTCTGATGAATGTGTCTGTCCTGAATATCTCACTCCCATCTTGACAACTATACATGTTTGACTCCCTATCGTGACATTTACTCCCTATCGTGACATTTACTCCATCATTCGATTAGAAATGGTAATTTAAATTGTGAAATTTACAACCTTAAGTCCTTGTAATAGACCGTTTCTTCATCATCTTCGTGTGCTTTCTTTTCCTCTCTATCATTCTTAGCTGTCAAAGTGTAATTAAGAGGTCAGCTTGTTTAATGACATTTTATAATTATTATTACAATACTAGAGGTAGCTATGGGGTGGGCAGGTCTGGGCGCAGCCATTACCGTCCCTGCCCTGACGATGATTTTTAGGAGGCAAGGCGGGAGCTGGACTGGGAGTAAAAATTCCCCATTTACCGTTCCGTTAGATTATTTATTTATTTATTTTTTGAAAAAACGATTTAAATTAAAAAACATAAAATATCATGTATACTATTTGGGGGTGGTGCAATGAGGGGCTGGACGGGAAATTTGCCATCCCTACTTATTCCTCGTGAGATCATTGAATAACCTGAGTTCATGGTAAATGGATGGTTATAATTGCAATCACCAACAGGGGAATTTTGGTTTTTGTTTTGTTTCGTCACCTAGATGGAAATAAAAATCAAGGCTTCTTTGCAACAAATCTTAGTAATTGAGATTAGTGAAAAATGAAAAAAGTCAGATCAAATTAAATGTATATGTATTAGTTGAATGATGCTTAGCTGACTGTTTGTCTTTAATATCTTCTAACAGGTTCGGTTCCTCACGAAAATATACCACCCTAACATTGATAAGGTTTGTTGCCCCAGTTTCAAATGTTTGTCTCTGTCTAGGCCTGAGTCCAATATTTAATTGTCTTGTTGGATTTTCTAAGCAGCTAGGAAGGATATGCCTTGATATTCTTAAAGACAAGTGGAGTCCTGCTCTTCAGATTCGAACAGTTCTTTTGAGGTACTGGAATTTATAGTGATCTTGTTTTACAAAAGCTTTTCACTTCTCCGTAAAGTTGTGGAGATGACCCAGAACTTCAGAAATTGTATCTTTCTACCTGCATTATTAACCTAAAACTGAGATGATATAATCATTTGATGGAAGTAGCGGTAAACTGAATTGATTAAAGAAAAATGATTCATGAAGCAGACCCATATTTATGTGAAATAAGGCTTAGTATTTTTATTTTTTTTTGTTGAATTTGGTGGAAGTGCGATCTTCCAGCTTATCTAATTGCCAAATGTCACTGCTGCATATGTTATATTTCATAAATAACCATGAATTCACTTTTCGATTGTCTCCATTTAGCATTCAAGCACTTTTGAGCGCTCCAAATCCAGATGATCCGCTCTCTGAAAACATTGCTAAGCACTGGAAAACAAATGAGGCCGAAGCTGTTGAAACAGGTAGGCTGAACTAACTTACGGAAATCCAATGCTCTTTTTAGCAAAACCATTACTTACGGAAGTACATATTCTCTGAAATCATGCAGCAAAAGAATGGACGCGTTTATATGCAAGTGGTGAGTGAAGTACATGGAACTCAGGGCTTTGATATAACAAAAACATGTATTTGATTGAAGAAATTGATGATGCTCAAACCAATGGGAATCTAAATTAATGTTCTCAAAGGGTAGCATTACTATAAGATTATTCCTGCTTTTAAATTCTGTAATTGGAGTTTTATAACGAGACGAGAAACTCTTGTTGTGTCTTTTATTCCTCGTTGTCTCAAATAGTAATATTCAATTGTAACGATATCCTGCTATTCTGTCTGTTGAATTTCCGTTTATTTATTTTATTTTACTTTTGATGAAGTGCAAAATGGTAAAATGACAAGATGTGGTGGAATTAAATGAGTGTGATTATATTCGCACAATATATTTTATTTGTTATGCACGTCTTAAATGCACTTAAAAGCAGCTCGTCTTTGTCCATTATAATACTTATGTTTTTAGTTTTTTTATTTAACTTTAAATAATTAGCATGCTCGTTCTTAATGATGATTTTTGTCAGAATATTATGTTTGGTACGAGGGTTACAACTATTTTGTTGCATTTTGTACCTTTTTTTGTTTAATATTATGAGCAAATAGTTGTTTTATATCTACCCAATGGACATTTTGGACGAAAATTATTATTTAAGACAACAAATATTAATTAATAAAATATTGAGAATAAGCATGCAACAAAAAAAGATGAAAATAGAAGTGTTACAGGGAGAAAGATCCCGCAATTATGTATGTGACCGTCTTACAGTGGTGTCACTTGATTCGATTCGTCATCTCTTGTCCGAAAAAATAAAAAAATAAATAAATTGCCGACCCTCACAATATTTTTTAATATACAAATTCACTTTGGAGAATGATTACAAAACATAATAATTGAAAATCTTATATAAAAGGTCTTTGCGTGATTAAAATCTTAAATTCTATTTGTCCACCGACATAGCCACCTAGAATGTTGACCAGGCAGTCAATATTTCAAACGCCCTTTTCTCCTTGTGTTGGGGCTTTTACACTACAAGTTGTTATATGTCTTTTGACTATATAGCTTCTTTAGAAACGGGCGATGAATAATTGAATAATACTTGGATTCAAGTGAAATATATGGTTAAAAATTAAGCCTCTAATTGGTATTAATTAAAATTTTAAGTCAAAATCAACGTTTAAAATTTTAACCATACATTTTATTGGACTCGCAACTTTTCGACTATACTTTGCTAAAAATCTGATTTTAATTATACCAAACAGGGCTAAGTATGATTTGAAGATATTGCCAAATGGATGCTAAGATGCCACTTCACGAGAAGCCTAGGACAAAAACAAATCGTGTAAGAAAAATGGTCTCTCTCTCTCTCTCTCTCTCTCTCTCTCTCTCTCTCACACACACACACACACCCACACCCACACCCACACCCACATCACCCCCCTCCTACTCATAGAGGCAATATTGGAAAACGCGGTTCATATGGACAGTAAAAGAAGACTCACTCCAAAAAAATTGTACTATTCATATGAACAGTACAAATAAAAACCAAAGTGAAAAACAAACTCACTCTTAAAAAAGAAATCAAAAATCTCATCATTCCGTGCGGTATGGAGAGATATCACTTCGTGCTTTAAGGAGAGATTCTCCTTGTAGCAAGGAGAAAGTCTCTCCATTTTGAGATCTTGCAGCAAGTGGAGATTCTCTCCATTCTCAAAATGGAGAGATGAGAATGGAGAGGAATCTCTCCCTTCTGAGAATCCATGCCATGTTTTTTTTTGGTTTAATCAAGCATTATTTTTATATTTTTTTATTCAACCAATGTAAACATGCTACTATTTTACTTTCGTTTTTTCACACGCAAACGTAAAGTACCAAAAATGAAGACAGGAGAAATGGCGAAGCTGAAGACGAAGGAGACGTATACAAAAGAGATAATTAGGATTATTGTAATTAGTATAGCAAGTAGTAAATTAGAAATGCTTCCAACCATAACCCAGCCAGAAATCATTCAAAACATGAAAAAAAAAATTACAGAATTAAAAGGAGTTTTACCTTGTTCTAAAATTCGGAAAAGACCATTGGATCCAAGTTCCAGCTCTTAATTCAAACCAAAACTCCAATTTTCCCTATCTCATAAGCCCTTTGCAGCTGAAAAAATTACAAAAATTAAAGGGAAAAAAATCGGATTTTTCTCTCTTTCTTGCTTATCAGACCCGTTTTGACGTTTCTACGTAAATAATGATGGTTGCGTGAGAAAACAGGAAAATTGGACTCTCCGTTTTGAACGGAGAGGATTCTTCACTCCACGCTGCACGGACCAAATACGTCTTTGCAGCGCAGGCGGACGTTTTGGTCAGTGCAGTGCAGACGATCGGCACTGTCTTCTTAATTTTTTTTAGATATAGTGTTTCAATCCAATGATCACGGTAAATTACCAAAAATATGACCCATTATAAGTGAAGTGGTGAAGGAACTCACAATATCACTGCCCAAACTGAAGATGATCCTGCAAGAACACCACTTTCAGCCACCATGTTCACTGGACCAACACTCCAATATGAAGACCACACTGCCCTCTACATATCCTACACATCCCAAACAGCAACCAACCATAACTTAGGCAGATTTGACTGAAAATTCGCTCCAAAGTCAGGGCGCATAAGCAAAAAGGCCGAAAAATCACATTTCAACAACACCCAGCCTCTGCCCAACATTACTTCACATGGTGCACATATGGGGCTCCATTAATTTGGAAGTATTCATCGAGATTCCCTATATATGCAGTGTATGTGTATATGAGGAATTCTTGACAAATGTTGCATAAATGAGAGGACAAGTGGACAATGGAGTAAATAGCGAGGTACGAGAGGTAGAGTGTACAAATAGAGAAGAAAAAGACTTTTTACTCGGAGTAAATAATGAGGTATGGGAGGTAGCGTGTACAAATGGAGGAGAAGAGAAAGATGCTTTGCTCTGCTAACGCGACTCACTCAACTCGGTTCGACTTAGGTGGCCAATTGACTTATGAATAGTAAAAATCAAACTCACTCTTTTATATAGTAGTAATTATGCGCAAATATTTATTTTATATCTACCCAATGGACATTTTGGACGAAAAAATTATTATTTAAGACAACAAATATTAATTAATAAAATATGGAGAATAAGAATGCAACGAAAAAAAGATGAAAATAGAAGTGTTACAGGGAGAAAGATCCCGCAATTATGTATGTGACGGTCTTACAGTGGTGTCACTTGATTCGATTCGTCATCTCTTGTCCAAATAATAAATAAATTGCCGACCCTCACAATATTTTTTAATATACAAATTCACTTTGGAGAATGATTACAAAACATAATAATTGAAAATCTTATATAAAAGGTCTTTGCGTGATTAAAATCTTAAATTCTATTTGTCCACCGACGTAGCCACCTAGAATGTTGACCAGGCAGTCAATATTTCAAACCCTCTTTTCTCCTTGTGTTGGGGCTTTTACACTACAAGTCGTTATGTCTTTTGACTATATAGCTTCTTTTCAATAAGCATCCGTTTGAAAACAATTTATAAACAATTTAATTTTTAGACATTTAGAAACGGGTGATGAATAACTGAATAATACTTGTGAGTCAACTAAAATATATGGTAAAAAATTTAATTAAAATCTTAAGTCAAAGCCAACGTTTAATTTTAACCACACGTTTTATTGGACTCGAAACTTTTCGACCATACTTTGCTAAAAATCTTATTTTAATTATACCAAACAGGGCTAAGTATGATTTGAAGATATTGCCAAATCGATGCTAAGATGCCACTTCACGAGAAACCTAGGACAAAAACAAATCATGTAAGAAAAATGGACTCTCTCTCTCTCCCCCTTTTTTTTTTTNGCGATTCCATTTTCACAAGGTTAACCAACAAGATGAAATAGTCAATCTCCACCTATAAGTCTAGATTAATGCTATTTGTAAGCAATGCAGATTGACAGTAGTTCATGTGGCATTGATCTCACGTCACATATTGATATTCATCATCAATGCTTATAAATAGCATTAGTCATAAGTTCACCGTTTACTCAAGTCTAATCGATGTTCTCGACTTTCCAAGTACTTTACCAACGGAATGTAAAGTTAACTAATGGTCCCGAACTTTGGTGGGAGCCAAGAAACACTTCATCCTACTCGAAAGAGTTTTAGTTGGCTATTACGTGGTCTCGATATGTGCAATAAAGTCACAATACACAACTATCAATACAACCGCTTTTCTATTTATTTTTAAGTGATGGTTTAAAAAGAAATATACACGTAAATCAAATATGTATTTTCATATAGGGAAATGCTACATGTACAATACATGAGTTACAATCTCTCACAAGGGAGGTGAGCCCCGCAATTAAAATAATAGTGCAAGAGGTTGTAACCCAATATTGTATTCTTTCATATAAACACCGTAAAACATTTCCTCGAAAAAAGGAGCCAAACTGGCAGCGTCCACCCAGTCTTAAGACCATAGCTTCGTCATCATTCAGAGAGATACATAGGATTCATTTTTAACGGCTATATTTTCTGCACAATTCTTGGATTATAGTCTGTTTAAAGATCTAACATTTCGTACACTGTACGAACTGTACCAAAGCTATGCTGCAGAGACTTTTATTTATGAATAATGTAATTTTCCTTTTTCTTTTTTTTTTTTTTTGGGTCTTATGGATCAGCTTTAAAATCTCATCCCAAAAAACCAATTATTTCCGAGTCACTTTCAACTCCCTTCATTGTTCTAAAATTTCCTTTGATTGGAATGTTCAATCCACATCACTTATTTTAGGTAGAAACTATGTACATTAACTTTCATATTAAATTTCACATTATTTGACGTGACATCCATCATAGCCATTAATTTTTAGAACGACGCTACAGGTACAAATACGAATTTTTCCAGGGAAGACACAAATATATGGAGCCCACTTTTTTTAATAATATTTAAATCTGGTGGAGCCCACATCCATAAGAGAATCCGTATAACCTCTGGCAATGAACAGTTCTG